TGAGCCCGCGGGTTCGAGACCTGCCTGGGCAACTTGGTGAGACCTTATCTCTACAATAAAAAAAAAAAAATTAGCCGGGCGTGGTAGCCCGTGCCTGTAGTTCCAGCCACTTGGAAGGCTGAGGTGGAAGGATCACCGGAGCCCAGTAGGTTAAGGCTGCGGTGGCCGAGTGTGTGCCACTGCACTCCAGTCTGGGCAACAGAGCGAGACTCCAACTCAAAAAAAAATGAAAAAGAAAGAAATAGAAAATAGAAAATAAAAAAACCCTCATACTATCAACCTTCATGCTCCATTGTGGCCACCACTTCTCTTCAGAATTCTACCCAACAATCAGAATCATTCAAGTCAGGTAACTTCCTCAATTGTTGGCTTTCTCTGAAGCTTATGAAGAAGGAGAATTTCAGATAATAAGGAGTGTGGCAGTGCTGGGTAGTTCAATGCAGCTTGCAGAGGTGTTGCAACTGAGAGTAAGGCATGTCTCTGCACACAAGCACTGCTGACTTTGGAAGCTTGAGCAGCCCACCACTACTACATAGCAGACAAGTACAAATTGGCCCTGGCAAAAGCAGAATTAAAAAACTATCCATTTCATGGCCAGGCATGGTGGCTCATGCCTATAAATTCTAGTACTTTGGGAGGCCAAGGTGAGAGTATTGCCTGAGCCCATGGGTTTGAGACGAGCCTGGGCAACTGGCAAGACTTCGTCTCTACAATAAAGCAAAAAATAAGCCGGGCGAGGTGGCGCATGCCTGTAGTTCCAGCTACTTGGAAGGCAGAGGCAGAAGGATTGCCTGAGTCCAGAAGGTCGAGGCTGTGGTGGCTTTGAGCATGCCACTGCACTCCAGCCTGGGCGACAGAGTGAGACTCCAACTCAAAAACAACAACAACAAAAAAGAAAGTTAGAGGTAAACCTAAAATAAAGTTATCTTCTACATTGGCAAGTTTTGTTTTTTTCCCTGTCTCTTCTCATTTAATTATATTGGTTAGGGCAAAAATAAACAATGTTTACCTCACACTATTATTACAACAACTCTCGTTACCTGGCTCAATTGTGATTACCATCCCAGGCTGTAGAGGGATGGAACGGGGCATGTCTGGAGTGTCATGGACATCCATCCCAAGGTAATGGCCAACATGATGAGGGCAGTATTTTCGAGCAGCCTGGAAAAGATAATTACCTTAGTATTATTAGAGCAATGACCCCTTAAGAAGAAAGTTGGGTAAGGATAAATCAGTGAGATATGTATCGATACCTCCCCTGTGGTTCTTCCAATTGGGTATACCCTCTCCTTGGGTATACTTGAAAAACTGCTACCTCTTGCATATCATTCTGCCAATGGCATCCTAACTAATCTACATTTCCATTCCCATTATTTAATATACATGTATGCTGATTTGGGTAATCTCAGTAATGACTGTGGAAAAATGAAAATCTCCTTTCTCAGGGAAGGGAAAATGACTTTTAGAATTGCTCTTTTTACTCTCCGGAAACTTAGAATAGTTCACATATCACTCTCAGGAAGCCTACTCTCAAACTCTAATATCTCACAGCAATTTGTGTAGTAGGCATAATTATTGGGCATTTATCAGTTTGGATATTTCTATCAGTTAAAGATTTGTTGGCCTGGCTAGGCATGGTAGCTCACACCTGTAATCTGACCACTTCGGGAGGCTGATGTGGGAGGACTGCTTGAGTTCAGGAGTTTGAGACCAGCCTGGGCAATATAGTAAGTCCTTGTCTCTACAAAAAATAAAAAAAATTAATTGGGTGTGGTAGCATGTGCCTGTAGTCCCAGCTACTTGGGAGGTTGAGGTGGGAGGATTGCCTGAACCTAGGTTGAGGCTGTGGTGAACTGTGATCGTGTGACTGCACTCTAGCCTGGGTGAAAGAATAAGACACTGACTCAAGGAAAAAAAAGGAAAGAGATTTGTTGCCTGAGCAAGAGGGAGTTTAGAGCTTCTTAGTTTCTCTTTTTATTGATAACAGAGTGCTGGTAGCTTAAACCTGAAGGTGGGAAATGCCTAATGGTCTGTCTACTTTGTTTTTTACTGAACACCATTACATTTTGGATACAGAAAAAATTTACTAAAGATGTGTCCCTTGGGAATATGACTAAAGTCTCAACAGTGTCACTGAAGCAACAAATACCCTTCCTTGGCCAGGTGTGGTGGCTCATGCCTGTAATCCTGGCACTTTGGGAGGCTAAGGCAAGAGGACTGCTTAAGCTCATGAGTTTCAGACCAGCCAGGACAACATAGCCAGATTTCATCTCCACAAAAAAATTTTTTAAAGTTAGCCAGGTGTGGTGGTGCACGCTTGTGGTCTCAGCTGTTTGGGAGACTGAGGTGGAAGGACTGCCTGAGTCCAGGAAGTTGAGGTGTTACCACTGTACTGTTATGTAACATGCAACGAACAGAATGTACAGCCTGGGTGACAGAGTGAGACTCCAACTTAAAAAAAAAAAAGATGTACTTACGATTCATACTCAATTGAGACCAGCAGTAAACAAAAATAAATAAAAAGAACAAAAAAAATTTATAAAAAATATCCTCCCTTTTGAGCTCCTAAATTACCACAAAACAAAAGAATTAAGACAACCTCGCCAGGTGCGGTGGCTCACACTGGTAACCCCTAGCACTTTGGGAAGTAGAGGTGAGAGAATTGCCTGAGCTCAGGGGTTCGAGTCCAGCCTAAGCAACATGGAGAGACCTTGGCTCTACAATAAAAAAAAAAAAAAAAGAAGTCGTACATCGTGGCGCATGCCTGTAGTTCCAGCTACTTGGAAGGTTGAGGTAGAAGGATCGCCTGAGCCCAGCAGGTTGAGGCTGCAGTGGCCGTTGAGTGTGCCACTGCACTCCAGCCTGGGTGACAGAGTGAGATTCTGACTCAAAACCTGCCCCCCCGAAACAGAGTTAACCGCTTCTTATTTTTTGTCTCCTTTTCCACCCTGATTTGATTTTATATTTTCTGAATATTGAGCTAGTTATGCAACATGCAACGGACAGAATGTGCTGCCATCTTCTGGAATAAATAAGTACTGATTTCCTTTGTTTTACCACATTAATGTGAAATCCCATTTACAGATCATTTCTAAATCTAATTAGCTTTATCTAGGGTAAAAACATGACAGTATGTTAGATGTTCTTGAGAACTGAGGCCAACAGAAGTGAAGTACCTTGAAGGCATTATTTTCCTTAATGTTCTTCATGATACCCAACTCTTTAAGCTTCTGGCCCACCAGTGTCAGCATCATACTGTAGATGTTCTCCAAGCTTGTCCCAGGGGAACAGAGGGTCAGACAATCTCTCTGGATCTCTAGAACAGCTTCATAGAGTTCTGCCTGAGGTGCAGTGAACCTGGGAAGAAGAAAACCAAAGAACCTGAATTTAGAATAATCTGATATTGCAAGTAGTTTGCTTCTAAGTTTGATGAGAAAAACTCCAAGATGATGATGATGTAGCATTGTTGATGGTTAATAAGTACCAATATATCAGTACTGATGGGGCCTTAATCATGCCCTGGATGCTCAATAGGAAGAGCAACAATTCTTCAAGCTGGAGCAGCAACAGTCTCTCCTTCAAATGGTCAGGTAAGGCTAGAAGATATACCCAGTCATGAATGCAGTCAGAGGATCAGACCAAGCTCTGCCTGGTCTAATTCCTTACAGTACAGACTACCATTAAAAAAAAAAGAAAAGAAAAAAGAAAAAGAGGAAGGAAAGCCTAGGGATCCACTTCTGATACATGAAGCGGGTACCATGGGATAAAAACTAGTCAATACCTTTGTATTAGTAACTTACTAGTATTCAAATGTCCTTAGAATAACAATTTACTTAGCAAGTATCAGGAAAAATGAGAAAAAAGTGAGCTGGGATAACATATGATATGTATTCTCATATGTTATTGATAGGTGTGTAAATTAATATAGCCATTTAAATCATATTATTTGAACTTATAAATATGCTCTAAGAATCCATACTAAGAAAATAGTTGAAATTTTTTTTTTTTTGGCGTCAGAGTCTCACTCTGTTACCCAGGCTGGAATGCAGTGGCACACTGCTCACGGCCACCGCGGCCTTGACCTGCTGGGCTCAGGCAATCCTTCCACTTCAGTCTTCCAAGTAGCTGTAACTACAGGTGTGTACCACCACACCTGGCTGATTTTTTAATTTGTTGTAGAGATGAGGTCTCACCATGTTGCCCAGGCTGGTCTCAAACCCATGGGCTCAGGCAATCCTCGTGCCTTCACTTCCCAAAGTGCTGGAATTACAGGCATGAGCCATCATGCCTGGCAATAGCTGAAATTCAAAAAATGTGAAAGTACAAAAATGTTCATTGTATTTTTTTTTTTTTTTGAGTTGGAGTCTCACACTTTGTCGCCCAGACTGGAATACAGTGGCATGCTCCCAGCCACCGCAGCCTCGACCTGCTGGGCTCCGGCGATCCTTCTGCCTCAGCCTTCCAAGTAGCTGAAACTATAGGTGTGTGCTACCATGCTCGGCTAATTTTTTGATTTATTGTAGAGACAAGGTCTCGCCAAGTTGCCCAGGTGGGTCTCGAACCCGTGGACTCAGGCAATCCACTCACCTCAGCCTCCCAAAGCACAGGATTACAGGTTGAGCCACCGAGCCCGGCTGTATTTTTTATAATTGTAAAATATTAGACAAACTCTAAATGTCCCCAAATAGAATGGTTAAATTTAACACTATAGCTCAAAGCAAAACAAAATAAAAACAATGTAATAATATAACTAACAACTATGTACCTATCTCCTAGGTTCAACCATTATTAACACTGATGCTTGTATTACCTGTAAATGTACCCATACCCCATCCCACCACTGCATTACTAATTATATTTAAGCTATTTTTTTTTTTCTGAGTTAAGAGTCTCACCCTGTTGTTGAGGCTGGAGTGCAGTGACACACTCATGGCTACTGCCACCTTGACATGCTGGGCTCTGGTTACCCTTCCGCTTCAGCCTTCCAAGTAGCTGGAACTACAGGCATATGCTACCATGCCTGGATAATTTTTTTTTTTTGAGTTGGAGTCTCACTCCTTCACCCAGGCTGGAGTGCAGTGGCACGCATGCTCACAGTCACCGCAGTGTCGACTTACTGGGCTCTGGCGATCCTTCTCCCTCAGTCTTCTGAATAGCCGGAACAACAGACGCGCACTACCATGCCTTGCTAATTTTTAATTTTATTGTAGAGACGAGGTCTCACCAAGTTGCCCATGCTGGTCTCAAACCTGCAGGCTCAGGCAATCCACTCACTTTGGCCTCCCAAAGTCCTCGGATTACAGGCTGAGCCACCAAGCGCGGTCACTTTATTTTTATTTATTGTAGAGACAAGGTCTCGCCAAGTTGCCCAGGCTGGTCTCGAACCTCTGGGCTCAGGCAGGCCTTTCACCTCTGCCTTGCAAAGTGCTGGGATTACAGGCGAGAGCCACCACGCCTGGTTAAATTCTTTTTTTTTTTTTTTAAAGCAGGATTTATAGAGAGGACAGAAAAGCTCCCAGAGTAGAAGGGGTCCAGAGGGGTTTGCCCTAAGTGTAAATTTATATACACTAAGATGTATACATCTGTGCTATACAACTCTGACAAATGAGTGTACCAATCCTGATGAAGATGGGAAAACGAATTCCTAAATTCTGCTGAGTCTTCTTTGCCAGTAGAAGTAGGCTTTCCATCCCTGTTTGGGAAGTTTGACCCTGTTTTGCCTGACAACCTATAGGTAACTCCCCTGAGGTAGTTGTCTCGGTTTCTTCTAGACTTGTAACTAGATTCAAGGCCCAGCAGGCTCCATAATGTTAGCTACAAAGTGTGATCCATGAGGAGGTGCACTACACTCCAAAAAGAAGTGTGTGATTTTTTCCAATTTACATAGACAAAAATTTGGGAATATGTGGGAATAGATATTTACAATGTGGGTTAACGGCAGAAGGAGCATAAAGTTGAATCAGGCTGGATTTAATTAGTGATATGGGTCCACTAAGCAGAGATTCTCGATTCAGTGTTGTAGCTCAAGGTGCCTAAAAGCTCTGATGGTTTGGTTGGTTGGTTGGCTGAAACATGGACCAAAAGGTAGCCCACAGTAACCCAAATGCCAGACTGCTTTGGTATACTGGAGAAGGAATTCCGCCTCAAGACTGTAATATAAATACTGTCTAAGTTTCCAGTCTACTCTATAGATTTTGGACTCAAGACTTGTAACATCAACCCCTGTTTGAGTTTCCATCCTGGCCCATAAAATTCAAACATGAAAGCCCCCAACAACTGCAAGAGCCAATTCCTTAAATTCTCTGTTGGTCTTTCCGTCCTTCCTATCTATCTATCTACCTACCTACCTACCTACCCAGTCATCATCTGTCAATGTGTTTTTACACACACACACACACACACACACACACACACACACACACACACACGTATGTGTAATCACATATGCATGCATATACACACACATATATTCTTTTTTTTTTCCCTTGGAGTCTCACTCTGTTGCCAGGCTGGAGTGCAGTGGCATGCTCACAACCACTACAGCATTGATCTGCTGGGCTCAGGCGATCCTTCCAACTCAGCCTTCCAAGTAGCTGGAACCACAGGTGCACACCACCACACCTGACTAATTTTTTGATTTATTGTAGGCAAGAGGTCTTGCCAAGTTGCCCAAGTTGGTCTTGAACCCCTGGGCTCAAACAATCCTCTCACCTCTAACTTCTAAAGTGTTGGGATTACAGCCATGAGCCACTGCACCAGACTCACATGCATATTCTATTGGTTTCTCTGGAGAATCCTGACTGATATAGATTCATATCTCTATCATTATATAGAACTTTTATATCTCCCTAGCATTTCCTTATGACCAATGTACTTTTAATCAATACCCTTTTTTTTTGGAGTTGGAGTCTCACTCTGTCGCCCAGGCTGGAGTGCAGTGGCACGCTCATGGTCACTGCAGCCTCGACCTACTGGGCTCAGGTGATCCTTCCACCTCAGCCTTCCAAATATCTGGAACTACAGGCATGCACTACCACACCTGGTTTATTTTTTAATTTATTGTAGAGATGAGGTTTCACCAAGTTGCCCAGGTTGGTCTCAAATCCCTAAACTCAGGCAATCCTCTCACTTGGCCTCCCAAGGTGCTAGGGTTACAGGCTTGAGCCACCACGCCCGGCCTTATAATAATTTTTAAATATGGTGTGAGATAGGGGTTGAAAAAATTTTTCCTTTCCCTAAAGACTTTGACATCCTTGTCTGAAATCAAGCAACTACATAAGTAGAGTCTATTTCTGGATTTTCTATTCCATTCCATTTACTTACTCTGCGGATACCACCCACACTGTCTTAATTACTGTAGTTTTATAGTAAATCGTTTTTTAAAAAAATATTTGTGTCTTTTTTTTTTTTTGAGTTGGAGTTTCATGCTGTCACCCACGCTAGAGTACAGTGGCAGACTCATAGCTATCACAGCCTTGACCTGCTGGGCTCAGTTGATCCTTGCGCCTCAGTCTTCCAAATAGTTGGAACTAAAGGCACACACCAGCATGTCTGGCTAATTTTTTGATTTATTGTAGAGATGAGGTCTCACCAAGGTTCCCAGACTGGTCTCAAACCCATGCACTCAGACAATCCTCTCACCTAGGCCTCCCAAAGTGCTGGGATTATAGGTGTGAGCCACTGTGCCCGGCCCATTTGTGTCATTCTATTTTAGAGTCAAGGGTCTCACTCTGTCATCCAGGTTGGAGGGCAGTGGCATGATCACAGATCACCGCAGGCTCTATCTTCTGGGTTTAGGTGATCTTCCCTCCTCAGCCTCCTGAGTAGTTAGCTGGGATTACAGGTGCAAGCCACCATGCCTGGCTAATTTTTGATTTTTGTAGAGATGAGGACTTGCTATGTTTCCCAGGCTGGTCTTCAACTCCTAGGCTCAAGTAATCCTCTCATCTCAGCTTCCCAAAGTGGGGGGATTATAGAAGTGAGTCACCGTGCTCAGTTGTTCGACAGTAAATCTTGAAGGTAGTTTAAATTATTCAGTTTTGTTCTTTTCTCCAAGATTGTTTTTTGAGGTTCCTTTAGGTCCTTTGCATTTCTATATAAATTTTAGTATCAGCTTGTCAATTTTCACACACAAAAATGTATGCAGGATCATGATGGGAATCATGTTGAGTCTGAAGATTAATTTGGGGAAAAACATCCTGACATTTAATTTTCCAACTCATGAGTAATTGTTTCATATTTTTCATTTTTGACATTTTGGAGATTTGTTCCTAAGTGTTTAATATTTTTTGATACTACATGTGCAATTCTAAAAGATTTCATATTCGAATTTGTTTGTTGCTAGTGTATAGAAATTCAGATTGATATTTCTTTTTTTTTTGAGTCGGAGTCTCACTCTGTTGCCCAGACTGGAGTGTAGCTGCTCCTGGCCACCACAGCCTCGACCTGCTGGGCTCCGGCAATCCTTCCGCCTCAGCCTTCCAAGTAGCTGGAACTACAGGCGCACACTACCACGCCCAGCTAAGTTTTTGATTTATTGTAGAGATGAGGTCTCACCAAGCTGCCCAGGCGTGTCTCGAACCTGCAGGCTCAGGTAATCCATTCACCTCAGCTTCCCAAGGCACAGGATTACAGGCTGAGCCACCGAGCTCAGCTCAGATTGATATTTCTACATTGGTCTCGTGTCCTGATACTTTGCTAAATTCAGCTCCTTTTTGTAGATTTCTCAGGATTTTATTTTATTTATTTATTTTGAGTATGAGTCTCACTCTGCCCTCCAGGCTGGAGGGCAGTGGCATGCTCCCGGCCACTGCAGCCTCCACCTGCTGGGCTCAGGCGATCCTTCTGCCTCCGTCTTCCAAGCAGCTGGGACTACAGGCATGTGCCACCACACTCAGTTAATTTTTTGATTTATTATAGAGATGAGGTATCACCAAGTTGCCTTGACCTTGATTCGCTGATTTCGAACCCGTAGGCTCAGGCAATCCTCTCACCTTGGCCTCCCAAAATGGAAGGACTATAGGCCTGAGTCACCAAGCCCAGCCCAATTTCTCGGATTTTATATGAAAACAATCATGTTATCTTTCCCTCCCTGCATTCCAATCTCTATGCCTTTTATTTCTTTTGCTTGTCTTATTGTTCAGGCTTGGAACTCCAGTACATAGATAAACAAAGATGGGGATAGTAGCCATTTTTGTTTTGTTTCTGATCTTAAGGGTAAAGTGTTCAGTGTTTTGCCATCAGTGTAACATGAGCTGTAACTTTTCAAAGCTGGTCTTTATTAGATTAAGGAAACTCTACTCCAACTTTGCTAAGAATCTTTTTTTTTGAGTTGGAGTCTCACTCCGTCATCCAGGCTGGAGTGCAGTGGCACACTCACGGCCACCTCAGCGTTGACCTGCTGGGCTTAGGCGATCCTTCCGCCTCAGACTTCCAAGTAGCCGGAACTACAGGTGTGTGCTACCACACCAGGTTAATTTTTTACTTATTGTAGAGATGAGGTCTTACCAAGTTGCCTGGACTGGTCTCGGACCTGTGGGTTCAGGTACTCCACTCACCTCAGCTTCCCAAAGTGCTGGGATTCAGGCTGAGCCACTGAGTCCAGCCCTTTTTTTTTTTTTTTAAATCATGAATGGAGGCCAGGCTTGGTGGCTCAAGCCTGTAATTCCATCACTTTGGGAGGCCGAGGCAAGAGGATTGCCTGAGACCAGGGGCGGAGACCAGTCTGGACAACTTGGGGAGACCTCATCTCTACAATAAATCAAAAAAATTAGCGAGCATGGTAGCTTGTGCCTGTAGTTCCAGCTACTTAGAAGGCAGAGGCGGAAGGATTGCCTGAGCCCAGCAGGTGGAGGCTGCAGTGGCCGTGAGCATGCCAGTGTACTCCAGCCGGGGCAACAGAGTGAGACTCCAGTCCTCTCCCCACAAAAAATAATCAAGAATGGGTGCTAAATTTTGTCAAATGCTTTTTTTGTGATCATTTCATTTTCCGCTTTATTCTGATGAAGTATTACAATGACTTTTTTTTTTTTTTTTTTGAGTTGGAGTCTCACTCTGTCACCCAGACTG